CTGTCCTTTAGCCCTCTCAGTGCTGGCAATTAATTGCCAGGCTGGTGGGTGTCCTCACCTCACCTGGATCTCAGCACAACAGAAAAAAGGCTCCCAGGCTGCTGAATATTTAAAAAAAAACCCATCAATCACAGGTTATGTACCAGAAAAATAAATGCAAAACACACTGCACTGGAAAACACGTGCAGGAAAAGAGGCATACAGCAGCTTAAACAGGGTGAGCAAAGCCCAGGAATCTCAAATCAAACCAGAGAACAAAGGCAGGTGCTTTTTCATCTTGTGCAAGAATGGCAAAACTGTGGCATGATATGGGCAGGAATAGTGACAAACAGGTGAAGGCAATAGTAAAATCATCTAACTTTCTGAAAACCATCGTTTTTCTGCTCTTGCTTTGGGCACAAGACAAGTAAAATTCAGATAATAATTCGGTTAAAGGTTGCCTGCTGATCCTGATGGGACTGCACCTGGTGCAAGCAGGGCACTGTGCCCTGTTGATAACAAGGACACCTGATGTTTCTACAGGGCTGTAGTTTCACAAAGAAGGAGGAAAATGGAAAGGTAAATCTAAATTTATCTCATGACTTTAGAAAAGTCTGGGGAAAAAAAATGTGAATGAAAGCAGTTGGGTTTTTTTTATAATCTTATTACTGATTATCACAGTTCTACCACACAAGGTTTGGTCAGGACTTAAAAAAAAAAAAATAACCCCTCAGTGACAGTTTAAATGATTATGTCTGTTCTCTAATTTAGTTGCCCTGAAAGAGACTGATAATGTTCCCTAAAATACCTCCTGTCTCCAGGCTGGTTCTTCTCCCCCATTCCACCAGACACTAAAAGATAAAAACCTTTTTTCCCCTCTTCCAATTCTTCCTCCCAATGTGGGTTCCTGCTGCACACTCAGTAGAGCCAAGCTTGATGAAACACAGAACCAAGGAGGAAAGCAAGGTGTCCCTTCTGCATTTCTGAATTTTCCCCTTTTCAGGTTGGCAGAATTTCTTCACTGAAAGGGTGGTCAGGCCTTGGAAGGGGCTGCACAGGGAGGTGGTCAAGTCCCCATCCCTGGAGGTGTTCAAAAAGTGACTGGATGTGGCACTTGAAGCTGTGGACAAGGTGGAGATTGCTCAAAGGCTGGGCTTGATTTGGAGGTCTTTTCCAACCTTAAGTGATTCTAACAGGATAACCTAAGTGAGGAATTTCAAATATACTTGAAGGGGTTTTTGATGACCAGCATTTTCAGATGAAAAATTCCAAATAGTTACAGTAAAAATTAATTAATGGGGACGTGAAGTGGATTGCTGTTTAACTTGTGCCACGTTACTGTATTTTATTTTGTTTCTTTAATATCTATCTAAGGAAGCACGAGGATGTGAGAGGTTATTCTTGCTTTGTTAAAGATTTGTAAATCCCCTGAAGGGCAGGCTGGGAAAATTCTAAAGGTGGGGGAAAGAAGGCAATAAGGTGGTCTGGGGAGTGACAAACAGAGTAATGAGTGGTTGGTCAGTGTGCTTGTCTGGCCATGCCCCACACCTGCTCTCTCCTGTGTTCTTTTTAAATTCCATTTCTAGGAGCATTCCTGCAGTGGCAGCACCAGCTTTATTGGAATGGGCAGCAATATTAGTTAGAGGTGAACTTCCTAAGAAAATGGAACCTAAAGAACGTGCATGTGCTCCTGTTTTCCTCCCTTCCCCCAGTAAGTCCCCATCCTCTTGGCCAAAGGCAGGGGGCAACTTCACAGAGAACACCACCTCATTTTAAACATCACACATCAGTTAATTCAAGGGCAGAGAGGCATCACAAACACCATAACAGGGACAGAAGGAAGCGCTGATGCCCTGTTATACACCTGAGAAACCAAGCACAAGACACAAACCCAGAGGAAACAACTGGATGTCTTCAGGTGAGAAACCTCCAGCTGAAGCTCCAGTTTACAAAACACACCAGGCCAAGGAAGATCAGACAACACTCTTGCTTCCGTAAAACCCGTGGAAAATATCTTATATAGCAAGGAAAAAAAAAAAAATCAAGAGACTGGCTTACCATGTGCACTGCCAGCTGAAGGGATGCAGCAGCTCCATGAACAGCTTACAAATGCCAAGTGAAAGCAGCTTCACAGACCTCCCAACACCACTGCTAGAGCCAAGCAGTCTCCATCCCTCACCTCTGACTCAATCATCACCAGCTGGGGCTCCTTACAGTAGTTTGTAGTGACTTTTGCCCTCAGTCTTCCCAAAAGCCACACCTGCCCACCCCTGAAAGGCTCCCCAGCTGCAGGCAGTGGGACCAACCTGGCTGATTGCAGCAGGTGGGACTCTGCTCTGCTCTGGCAGCTCTGCCTTCTCTGCTGGGTAGCACAGACTGCCCTGGCCAGGGACCAGGAGCTGAGAGGCGTCTCCTCCAAGCAGAGGAGATTGGCAACACTCAGGTTCAGGGGTGATCTTAAGACACATGAACTCCATGATTTCAAAGCAGGGAAAATGCACCCTCTGTTGCTAAATCACAGATAGGATCACGGAATGGTTTGGGGAGGAAGGGACCTTGAAGACCATCCAGTTCCAGCCCCCTGCCATGGGCAGGGACACCTTCCACCAGCCCAGGTTGCTCAGAGCCCCATCCAACCTGGCCTGGGACACTGCCAGGGATGGGGCAGCCACAGCTTCTCTGGGCAACCTGTGCCAGGGCCTGCCCACCCTCCCAGGGAAGGATTTCTCTCTGATATCCAACCTAAACCTGCTCTCTGTCAGTTTGAAGCCATTCCCACCTCTCCTGTCACCAAGTAAACGTCAAAGGAAAATATCTAATGCCTTTTTAACCAGCTGTACCAGCCGAGAGGATGAATGCCGGCCAAGGAAGTGAAAGAAGAGGTGGAAAAGCTGCAGAAGTAGCAGCAGCTACAGTGGAAAAGCAGCTCCCACTACTGGCCGATTCAATGGAAGAAGAAAGAACAGTAGGAATTTCTTTACTGAAAAACGGATTAGACCTTGGCAGGGTCTGCCCAAGGAAGTAGTGGAGTCCCCCACCCATGGAGGTGTTCAAGGACCAACTGGCCATGGCACTCAGTGCTCTGGGCTGGTTGACAAGGTCACAGGTTGGACTCGATGATCTGGGAGGTCTTTTCCAACCCTGGTGATTCTATGAGTTACAGGGATTGTGTACTCAGGGCTGTTATTACAGAATAAATTACTCTGAAGAAACAAAAAAAATCAAGACCTCTAGAGAAATTGCTTTGGAAAGGTAATAAGGAAGAATCATAGTGTGGTTCCTACGAGGTGGGAAGCAGAAGTGCCATGTAGTGCAAAGCACTGTGATGTGACGCTCCATTTCACCCATATCCCTGTCTGATGTGGAGCTGGCTGCTTACAGCAAACTTCTCCTGGATATTCATCACTGACCCACTCATTAATGCTTGTCTGAACGAAGATCCTGTAGCACAGCTCGGTCTGTGGTGCAGCTGAAGGCACTGGAAAACCTGTGCTTTGAGTGAGGGGGGAAAAAAATAAACAGTGAGTTCCCAGAACTGGCACCTCACATCACAGCACTGCCTTTGGCAGCTCCTACTGCAGCACTCTGACACCTGAAAATGGAAACTGCCTGTCAGCCAGGCAGGGCTACGTGCTAATTGCGTCTCTCTGTACCTCACCTGCACTTGTGAAGGAGTTCAGGAGCACATTTTCACAGCAGGATGTGAACAACAGTCAATGAATCAAGATTAGGGCCACAATTATTAAATGAGTGCTAATGAGATTACTCATTTACAGTTAGAGTTCTGACAGAGAAAACCCTGCGGTCAGAAAAATAATAGAAGTTAAGGATTAAATTATTAACAACATGCACTTCACTTCCAGTTTGTCCTAGCTTTTGAACTCCCAGATTTATTTTAAAGCCACTGAACTTACGTTATCAAAAGAAAAATAAACACTCCACGAGAGCCAAATTGAATACTTCCTTAGAAGGCAGGATCAAAAACCTCTCACCACCACAAGAGCCCCCCTCTTTCTAACAGAGTAAACATCAGCAGCAGCAGGTTTGATGCGGAAGAACAAAATGTGGAAGCTGTTGAAATTTAAGAAACACTTTGCCCAGGAGTTTCACAGTAGTTTGGCAACAATACAGGGAGTGAGAGATTCTGATCTTCAGAAATCAGCTGAGGGAGCTGGAGAAAAGGAGGCTCGGGGGAGACCTTATTGCTCTCTACAACTCCTTGAAAGGAGGATGGCATTTTCTTTAAGAGCTGTGCTCAGGGCTCAAAAGAGTAAAGAATTTTAAAGGGCCATATCTGAGACCTTATAATCTGAATAGGTGGCAGTACCAGCAATCCCTGTAGGCAAGGACACATTTTAGGTAAGCCAGTCCTGACCTGTAACGTTCTTCACATCACTTGAGCGCTGCTAAAGCTCAGGGACATGTTTGAGAGCCAAGGGAGAAATGGACTAATGTTAAGACACATTCTTTCTAATCCCAGCCTTCAAAAACACTGTAATGCTCAGCAGCTAAGCTAAAATTTGCTTTTGTGACCTTTTAAAGAGAAAACCTGCATTGCAGCAACAGTCCCCCCCCAACCGAGAAGGCAACACTCGTGAGCCAAGGTCTAC